CATTACAAGGAAACAAAAGTTGGTACTTTGTATTTAGATCAGCAAAATATTATATAATGTCTGTTCAACAGTAACAGCTCCATGCTTTACATAGTCAACGATACCAAATGTCGACGATACTGTTGGACTGTTATTAAAATCACACAACATAACAGAAAGCTCTTAAATGCAAAATTCTATTATTCCAGATGTCTTTCTTTGCTCATCAAAGAATGATGAGTCAGCCATGTCATCATAACACAAGCAACATTTCCTTCATATCAATTCGTGTCTATTGTTCCTAATAGTCATAGTGTATTCCTAGTTGACATGTTAGTCAATGTCAACAATGTCAAGATCATCGGAACATGTTCCAAGTCCACATCCACATGCCGAAGTACACAATAGGTTCAACCTCTTTGACACCTTCCTGTACATTGACTTTTACATGCACAGTTATGAAGTTGAAGAAGGTCCACGGAAACCATTTAGTCTTAACTTATTTGCAACTTTATCAATTTTACAAATTTAAGGTAATTTTACCAAAATTATGTTTTTTATAATTCAGGTGTATCATTTGAAGATTATACATATCTTTGGTTGTCACTGCATGCATGAAACACAACAATTCAACTGATGTCTGAAGGAGATCAATATTGTATATATTTGTGTCACTTTACGCTCCAGCTGCACTGACATGCTGTGAAACCCTTATAATTGATGGATAATAATATGACATCCTAATGAAAGGTTTACAAGTGACATTATGGTGTTCCGTTTTTTCTGTTTACAATGTGAAATATTACGGTTTTGGTTTTATTTCTTTATTTTACACTGGCAAAAGATATGACACACTGATCAGAAAGGCGTCATGGTATCTTACCACCAAACATACACACCCGTCATATACCTCTGAAATACACAGTATTCCCAATTCATTCCTTTTGATTGTAATATAGGTGATGTAATTTCCGACTCATGTTACCAGTACTAAAACAAAATGGTCACAGAAAATCTGGGTTCACATTGTGTTATTCACATTGAGGTTTGATAGTTGTTTAGGCTATGCAATATGTTATTACTCTCCCCTGGTTTATTGGGAGTTCACTGACAACAACATTACAGTTTGCAACATGTTTCGCATCCATGCATTATACAGCGCAGTTCTTGATTCATGATTCATGCATTCAATGAAAAACAAAACATCAGTAAAAATACTTGTGATCGGAACCTGCTTAAAGCTGCATTACTCACAGTGTTGTTTTACTTTTCAAAGTTTTTTTTAGGTAAGCTTGTTTTCAAATGTATTGATTTAGGATTTCAAGCAACGCTGCAGGTTATCTGGATGTCTGGACGTATCAACGCAATAACGCCTTGAACATATACTTCCCATCTTTCCTCTATCTCCACTACCCCATGGATAATTGAAGAAAATAATCATTCTGATTAAGAGATCGCACAAGCAATCGTATATACAATGTACTTGGATTAACCTTTCCGTATTCCATAAAATATGAAGCAAATATTCATTATCATAAATACACAACGTTTCTCGGCTACTAAGAAGCAGCCTAGAAACGTTGTGTTGTAAATAATAAAGAAGTTGTAAATCCATACCATACGTTGTTATGTTACCTTCCAACTTCTAAATGCCCATCAAGCATCTGCATGTTGATCAGTTTACAGTGCAAACATTATGAAAATTTAGCCATGAATAAATATAGTGATTATGATGTAGTTGTGTGGCATTTCACCAATCAGGACCAACACACACACACGCATGCATGCACGCACTCACACACACACAATGACGTAACCAGGAAAAACAGGGAGCTTATGGTACAAACAAAAAATAGATCTCTTCATTTGCTACTCACTGTGTTAATGAGAAAAAAATCAATTAATCCTGCTTAGGTGGATTTCATCTTGAATAGCCCTAGCCAATACAAATGCAACAAAGAAAATAATAAACAAACGTACGCACAAAACCCAATGCCATAAAAAAAAGGCTACACAGTGTGCAAGTTTAATGTTGGATCTAACAACAGTTGTCTAATGTGGGAGAAATTCATAAACATAGATATGGTCTTGAAAAAACAATAAGCATGTCCGGAGCATGTTTGGGTCCATAATTACAGGATCCTGGCACGTTATACCAAGCGGAAGCCTCTGAAAATAGGAAATTTTGATAGCAATATATAACTCTGTATATACTGAATTAGTCCCAGTGAGTTCAGAGATTCAGAACTAGACTGGCTTCATTTTGGACTATTGCATTACAGAAGGGGTTGGGCCGAAAGTTGGAGTATGAGACAGACTACTGGCATGTGTAAGGTCCCAGTGATACAGAGCGAATGTGGTTCTTACAAGGAGGGAAACGCATTTAAAAACCTTAATCCTATAGTAATATTAGCATTCGTATTTCGGAAACTAAATATATAGATCTGGGCAAGCAGGAGATGTCCTTCATTTGAAACACACTCTGCTGATCACAGCTGGTGGCTTCGTTATATCTGTTGGAACAATGCAGGTGACTACAGCTGACTTGGTAATGTTCATCTAGGTGAGGTCTGTCAATATGTTAGAGCTGACGTTGTAATGTCGATGCATCAGATAATGATTCACGTGAACCAATTCCATGATGCGATAACTAATGTCAGTTCATTCACTCTCTGCTTGAAGGACAACGTAGTCATGCAATATATATGGAAATCGGGAAATGAACGACAGGTGGTCTTTAAGTATCCATCTAGACGAGGTCACTCACTACTGTCAATATGTATAGACGATTCAAGGTGCGTGTACGGAATAGCTGATATTAATTAAATGCAGCTTGACAATTGGCTCTCTGAGGTACGACTTATCCAGAGACCAGAAACGATATTGGCGACATACATTCTGTTGTCAGTAATAGCATTTGGAATGATATACAATAGATATCACGAGACTGACTGTGCATTTATTCATTAACCATTCTGGCAGGTTCACAAATATGTTATTGGGTCAAAATTGATCTTCAGCAACCCATGTTGTAAGAGCGAACAAATGTGATCGGGTGATCTTTCTCCCTTACTTGTTTGATGCATGCCATCGTATCCCACTTGTGAAGATTGATGCTCATAGTGTCATGACCATGCTATGTGTAACTCTTTTGTGTATATCACTACATATTACTATTATACTAAAACCGAGGTATGCATATTTTTATGAACGTTACAGTAGAAGCAAGATGTTTATATGAATATTGTCTAGGAATTTCTTATTGAGTTGTCCACAAAACTAGGCACTTAATGTTTTGTATTTAAAGCAGTACGTTTCTTTCGTAATAGATCTTCATCAAATATTCCTCTGTTCCTCTGTGATAAGGTTGGAAATAAGTTAAGACTAAATGGTTTCCGAGGACCTTCTTCAACATATCTGTGCATGTACACGCCAATGTACAGGAAGGTGTAGCTGCAAGAGGTTGAACCTGTTGTATGCTTCGGCATGTGGATGTGGACATGAAACATGTTCCCCTGATCTTGACAATGTTGACATTGACTAACATGTGAACTGGGTATACACTATGAATATTAAGAACAATAAATACAAATTGACATGAAGGTAATGTTGCTTGTGTTATGATGACATGACTGTGTGTATATTTGGTGGTAAGATACCATAACGCCTTTCTGATCAGTGTGTCATATCTTTTACAATGTATCAATGATTGCTGGTGTAAAATAAAGAAAGAAAACCAAAGTCGTAATATTTCACATTGTAAACAGAAAAAACGGAACACCATAATGTCAATTGAAAACCTTCCATTAGCATGTCTATTATTATCCATCAGTTTTAAGGATTTCACGGCATGTCAGTGCAATACTGACACTTATCAAAACATATCTCCTTCTGACATCAGCTGAATTGTTGTTTCTGCTAGAATGTCAATAAATGCAAATTCGCATGATAGTTCAACAGTATCTTCGACATATTTAGTATTGTTGATACTTTGTAAAGCATGGAGCTGAAATTATCTTATGTTTTGCCAATCTAAATACAAAGGACCAACCTTTTTTGCCTTTTAATGGTTTTTCATGAATACAATGCCAACCAAAGGTATATATGATCTTCAAATGATATAGCTGAATCAGAAACACATAATTTTGGAAAAAATACCTTTAATTTGAAAAGTTCAATTCACATTTTCTCATCAAATGCCCTTTCTATTAAAACTGACCTTGGACCTTACCAAAATATTTTTGCGATGAGCATATATGTAATATTATTGTCCACAATTTTAAATCATGGTCGGAGCATTCAAAAACATTTTTTGTTATGAAAATCGGTCAAACCAAACCAGAGTTATTAAATTAAACCATCCAGTTATCTGTTAAAATATTGCCATAACTGACATGACATGTTGCACCTTAAAAGGGCCCCTACACGGTAGTCACACACGGTAACTGGCTTTAAATCAAAGCCAAATCATTCCTGATTGTGAAAAATCACATTCCATTCAGTCGCCAGAACTGCACCACATTTCCACCATTTGGGGGGTCTGGCTTCTAGACCAGAAGTCCCAAAGGAATAATTAAGGGTTCTGATCAGTCCCCTGCCAAAACCAATCCCCTGCCACCAAAATAAATAACACTGTTGAACTACTCCACTAATATTCAGATATGTTCAGGTCACAGATTGGTGTCACCAAGCGTAAACTTCCAACAGTTTCACCAAAAATTCTTAAGTCACTTTTGACTTTTAGGAAGATTATATTATAGATCTAAAGTGAATTTCAAGCTAGTCAAAGGGGCGTAACTCTGTATTGTTATGATTTTTCCCTGTTGAAGATGAACAATCGATTTGGCAGGTATTGATTATTTACCTTTAAAGATTCATTTAACAAAAGTCTCATGTCGTGCACTATTACCCTACAAAAGTCTGTCTCTGGTGTTAATAACAAAGATTTCAAATTAGCCCCGCATCTTGAGCGGAAAGACAAGTCAAATACCCAAGACACGTACTGGGAGTAATATACTTACCCAATGTTTTTCGTGGCCTAATTTCTGTCCACCCGGAATGACATCAAATTCGCTGACTTGGATTTTGTCTTCAGTCATATCACATATTGCATTGGCGCTATAAAAACACAGTGTTGCAATACAACACAATAATAAATCCCAATTCATACTCATTTTCTGTCCGTTTCTGTCTGCAATCTCAGCGTAAGAGACGTTCCGATCCTATCAAACGCACCCACGTTACAGCCAATCAGCGCGCAGATCCCAATGCATTTAAGGTTAGAGGGCACGCACCTGCAACCTTTGACCCTAAGTTGAACAGCATATACTATTTACTAACAACTTATCTGCTTATAAGAAAGTAAGAGAGTTTATGGATAACAACTTCTTTATTATATATGATGCGACGTTTCGGTATGGATTCTTATACCGTTGTCAAGCCATATTCTCTCCTTGAACTTACTCTACAAAGGCTATTATTCTCAAACATCGTCAAGTGAGCCCCCTAAACATTTCCCGAGGTCCCACCCCACTCCGGCATACTACTTACAGTGTCTTAGCATCCAGTATCAGAATCCCTGAGTAATATCGGTGTACACGCATGGTAAAAGTAAATCGATTGGGATTTTCACATTTGTGCATGACCAAGTTTGTTCATAAGCTAATGGCTATATATTTTATGAATTTTTACTCTTAACAAGTTAAAAAAAATGACTATTACATTTAAATATTGGCATGGCGTGTCAGATAAACATTTTATCGCATGTGTGTATGTGCGAGCGCGTGTTTGCGTGCGCAAGTGAATAAATATTTAATTTTAACTTTTCAAAGAAACATATGTGTTTTGATATGCCAGGGCGCCATGTCTTCTTTATACAGGTTTAACTGTCAGTAAACAAATTACGTACTTGAATAAAAGATAAACATTTTGCTTTGTGAATTCACAAATACGTGGTGCAGAAGAAATTAAAACCATAAGCCTAACTTCATATAATTGAAAACTGATTTCTCTTTTACAAGCTGTACTTAGTAGTAAGTTAATACTATCTATACATCTATGAATTGGACAAGCGAAAGGAAAAAAATAAGAATGGCATTTTCATAAATAAAAATCACTGTGTTTGTCCTCATTGCAATTGACAGATTTTAGCAAAAACATTCAGTAGAAACTCTAAAAGTCAATAACGTGCAGTCAGCAGTGCCACTATTATTATTAAGTAATCAACAATGAAAACAAATGTTTCACTCGGGACTCGAATATCAGAAACCTCAGACACAAGCACCTCCCCAAGATTTTGAAAGCTTTGAAATTCCCGAACCTATAAACTTCCCAGAAAGGGGAAAAAAGTTTTCAACTGCATCCATATAATGAAATACTGACAATTTTGACCCATTTGGTATTTTAAAAAAACAATTCCAAAAACTTTGGGCATTCTAATAAAATGTTCATATTGCTTTGAAATTCCAGGAGAGAATTAAGGTGCGTTCACACGTTGCAACTAGTTTGTTACAACACGTTGCATGCCACAAGTTTTATACAACTAGTTGCAACGTGTGAACGCACCTTTAGCCTTCAGCAACTCCTTCTAAGTAGCGTTGAGAATCGGGTTGTCGGGTTGGCTTACTTGATTGATGCGTGACACCGTATACCAACTGCATGTGTAGTTCGAAGCTTATGATATCACTCACTGGAAAGTCCGATCCAAACTCAATTATATAAATACGTATGCATACTATGTATGTTACTTGGAACAGCGTAAGCATCAACACATTAACTGTAACTGAATACACGACTTACGTGTATATAACAAGAAGAGCTTTAATGTATGCCTTGGCAATTTTGTGAAATTGTCAAATGTTGTTTGCAGGTGCCAAAAAGGGGTAGAATTGTAAACTCCATTCCATTCCATTCCATAGATGGGTAAGGTGTATTTTCCTCAGTACATTGTGTGAATGTTTTGAATGCGGTGTGTGTATTTGTGTAACATGACTATATTTTAATTTAATTAATGCAACCTATAAAATGTTACAGAATTTGTTGTATAGAACATTCTCATAGAATGGTTGATTTTGCTGTCCATTGGATTCTTTGTCAAATGTTTCAGGGTGATGTTTTGTGGATTCTGAATGACTGACTACCCTACGTAATAAAATGTCCTCACCCCTTCCAGCGGCGTTGTTATTTTGAAGAGCTGGTCACATCTATATCTTTACATCTGTTTAAAACACTTAGAAAACGTGTTTCTACGCCACAATCTTGCAATAACCACACAAAAGATAACCCAGAGTGAAATAAAAGTAAACTTACATGGGATACCCAATTGTGACCACCATTGTCGTCGTATGTTTTTAACATTTCATAGCATGCCTTTGGAATACGATAACTTTCCATATTCAGGAGTCTACACCAGTACTTTATACAATGGGTGAAATACTGTACACAAAGATGGCTTTTACCCGTTTCACCGAGTACAATGTTTGTAGATACATTTTTGCTAACACAAAGATATCTTTTGAAATAATAACTTTGCATTTTTTCAACATTTGCACGATAAAGGAAAACTGATTTATATGGATAGTCAACTTCTTTATTGCAATGAATGCGACGTTTCTGTGTAGGTACTAACACCGTTATCAAGCAAGTGATACTGAAATAAGGAGAATATATACATAGCTGTATAGTGAGTATATACAATTAACCACGTTGATGTAAACTGGATATTTGATAAGTAATTACAGCAGAGGAGGTTGATGTACAGAGTGATTGATTGTGATTAGAGTTGACTTTATACAATTGACGAGTTGACGTACAATAGTTGTGATTACAAGCACAAAGGGGGGAGCATGGAAGCCAGAAGGACAAAGGAGGTAGGGAAGGATTACTGGTGGTGGTTTTGATTAGGTGGTGATAGGCTGACGAGATGAAATAACCTTGATCTCGATTCATGGTGGGGTTGTGGCGTTGGATGTTTATGGCTTCAAGGAGTTTCCTAATTTTGTAGTCTTGTCGGTTGATTTCTAGGATATCGATGTTGTTCCATAGGATGGCATGGTCAGGGTTGGCTTGGGTGTGGTCGGCTATGGCGGATTTGGAGTCGTTTTTCTGGACTGACGCTTTATGTTCCTTGATTCGTAGTGGGAGCGGGCGGGATGTTTCGCCAATATAGAAGTCTCCGCTTTGACAACGAATCTGGTAGACTACTCCCGAGGGGTCATCTTTTGTTGTTGACGATGGTTTGCCTGTGGCTTGGAGGAGGTTCTGGATGGATTCATTGCAATAAAGAAGTTGATTATCCATAGAAATCAGTTTTCCTTCATCTTCACAACTTCTAAAATGCCTCTCAAAGAAATTTGCACGATAGGTAAAACCCCATATTTCTGCACCATAAAGCAGAATCGGTGCAATTATACTATCAAATATTAACCATACGTAGACAATCTAGAATTTGAAATGGAACACCGACAGAGTGCTATGCTATTTTCCATGGGAAGGTAGTTAGTTGTTACGCAAACCGTATACTAGGTTGCCGGCTCAAAGTGCAGATGTAAACATGGCTGCCTTGCGATTCGATGGACGCGTAGTGCTGGTGACAGGCGCCGGGAATGGTAACCTTTTCTCTGTGCAGCATTAATGACAGTTGTTGAATTTTGCATCATTTTCCACTGAGTCTCGCTTTCACTTTTTGACATTTTGTAACATGATTGTTTTCAGTGAAATTTCCCACATCAGCTGATCATCACTTTCAACTGTCCAGGGATTAGAGTCCATTTCGATCTCATCTGCGTTTGTAGTTACTATTATATTTTAGCAACATTTTGCGCTTTCAGCTACTTCAGTTATGAAATATGCATTATATGACGAGTAATAGTAACAAATATCACCGTTACTTTATGCCAATTTATGGATACAATATTTACGTGAGTGTAAGTTAACGCTCACAATATCACATTTTTCTCAGTAAAATCAGATTTAACTGCACTCCTTGTTGATTTAACTACTAATGTTTTTACGTGTTTCTGTAGGCTGTTATGAATTGAGCCACTTTTCCCACGGTGGTACTTCCTACCGGCTGATTTCCACCGTGGTTCTAGGTCCGCCCGATCTTGGAATCCTCTGTCCGCTTTCGATGACTGTCATGCACACTTCCCCGGCAAAACATGTTCCAGTCTACCAGTGTGGCTGACACGACCCGCATCCTCAGTTCCTTCAGCTGTATTACATGAGAAGGCGCTCTTTGTAAACCTCGATCGATGCTTTCTGGTCCGCAGGTCTTTGACCCGGCATCGCCAGACCAAACCATCCTCACCTTAGCTTGAGTCTTTCTTCGAGTCAGCTCGCCGCAGCCACTACCACAACCGGGACAGGCTCGCTCGAAGTCACCTATGAAGTCCCGCTGGTAGTCAGCCAGTCGACAAGAGCCCGACGAATCGAAACTCAGGCAATAAACATCATCATAGATCATTACTTCTCTGGATTGGTTGGGGCGACATCTTGAAACAATAGCTTGTAGGTGTGGCTTCGAGGAGTTGATGAATGTGAATTGGGCCATAAAATGCCCTAGAAGGCCTTAAATTTGATGGCTTCTAATCTGTCCGAACCCTGTCATCGGACATTGTTTCGTTGGAGTTTTGCAGCAAAGTTTCACAAATTTTGTTGGAGGGTAAGAGATGTTTCTACATTAGGGTAGTAAATTGGAAAGGTAGCCCAGCTGAAATAATGCTTATGTTAGTTAAATTTTAAAACATCCTTTCATCCATATTTGCTTGCTTGTTCAATATGGAACAGACTTTATGGATAGCAACTTCTTTTATTTTGTGAGTAGGATATTTCGATACAGATTCTTGTACCGTTGTCATTCCTACTTGACAAAAGAAGTTGTTATCCATAAAGTCTGTTCAATATTGTACTTCCCAACTTTTAAAATGGCACTCAAAGATGCTTTCTCGTTTTTTAATTGCACACCCAGCAATGATTAATTATGGTCTGTAGATAATCATCTCTGGTCCGGTGACTAATGGGATTGGGTGGTCAGGCTCGCTGACTTGGTTGACACATGTCATCGGCTCCCAATTGCGCAGGTCGATGTTCATGCTGTTGATCACTGGATTGTCTGGTCCAGACTTGATTATTTACAGACCGACGCCATATAGCTGGAATATTGCTGAGTGCAGCGTAAAACTAAACTCACTCACCACTTATCTATGGTGCTGACAAAACATGCAGTGATTGATGATATGAGCAATCTCCCATGCCTTTGGGGTATGATGACACAGTCAGTCTGATCCTTCAGGTTTCAAAGGTAACTGGGGACCCATCTAGTCAGGAATATCCACAGGGCCATGAACACATGACACTTTATTTGGATAACAACCTCTTTTATTCTTTTTACAAGCGTTTCAGTGGTACTCAGATGCCCTTTGTATATATAAAATGGTATCACAACACCTAATTTTTTTCTCTATGGCAGCCTATTATGTGTTTCAACGCGCAACAAATCATGCTGCGATGTTTGCAGGTAGATAACAAGTGGTGGAGCATATGAAACACTTGCACTTCCTGTGTCATGAAACCACAGTTTCAATTATCTTTCACTCTTGTTAGAAAACTGATCTAAAACATACTTATTGTCTTAAACCACTCTATGGGACCCTCAACTAACGCCATGCAAATCAGCAAGAGATGGCAAGATATAAACAGGCTTGGTTAATGCCGGGTTGTCCATGAGACAAATTGCCAGACAGTTAGGTCACCAGCCCCTCAACAATCAGTAGCTTAGTGAGGAAATATCACCAAACAAACGTGAAGGTGCGCATTCACGAAGACATCAGCTAAACAATAAAAAAGTCGCACGAGTCCTACTTCGACGAAAGCCAAAATGGCAATGGCTTCCACATCAACAATGCTGTCGTGCAACTGTGGTGGGGTATAAGGCCAGTCCATCTTTACAGCCATCTGCCGACACATGCCCCTCATGACTGACATCGTTGGAACCTGCCTTCTTGGAGGAAGATCTGTTTTTCAGATGAGAGCTAGCTTTTGCTTTTGTTGTTGATGGAAGGATGCGTGCATGGCTTACAGAGGAACATGACATACGGCTCAAAGGAAAGAAGTTCTATTCTGGAGGATCCTTGATGGTATAGGGCTGTGTGTCTTATGACTGAACTTCAGCTTGTCACAGTGAGAGGAAATCTGAATGGAAAAATGATACCAAGAAGGAAATCTTCAGGAAGCATGTAGCGCCCTCATTTTGATAATCATCCCCATCAACAAAAAGGACAATCTTTTGGATGACAACGCCAGGCCACATCGTGCGCGCTGCGTGCAGTCATTGTTCCTGCATCAAGCCATATTACACCCTTCCGCTGGCCAGCCAGAAGCCCTGATTTGAGAACTTCTATCGTGAGCATATAAGGACATTCACTTGGGTGTAAGGTTAGATCAGTTAAGCCCCAATCTCGGATTCAGCGTCCTGTGCACTCCAGTGAAGAGCGAGTGTTCAAAATGTCATCCAGATGGATGGAGGTTGCACATGATGATACTGACAGTGTCTTGTGTTTCTGAAAACTATAGACCTTATTTGTAGATTGGGTGCAGGAAGTAGGATCTTCATAGCATCTTGTTACCTGTTTGGAATGACCGTACTTTTATTTGACACATTATGTTATCTTAATTTCAGTTTTGTTACAGGACCCATGTTTAATCTCAAATTATACCGTAGTTCAGATTTACCTTTATTGCTAAGCTTTGTGTTAATGAAAAGTCTTTTTAGCATTTTAGCACATGACATATAAGCTGTGATTAAATATACGGTAGGCTTATGTCATAAAACTTGGTGTTAGTGTAATGAGGGTGACTATTAGAGGAAACAGCTATTGCAATGGCTTCTTTCTCTTTGAATCGTCTCACCGCCATTCTAGTGTGCCCCTCAGAATCGAACCATTTTACATTACGCCACAATGTAAGCCGCATGTCACGATGCATGTCAGTTGTCATCGCCAGACGTCGCCTCTCCTACAGTAAACTACACCGCTGCATCCAGTTTCTTGGTTTGCTGTTGCTTCACGCAGCTAACATCACTGGTGGAAACAATACGCTTATGTTTTACTTACGGTTAAAATGTGTCATTTCGACTCACAAGTTTTCAGCCACACGGTAACGATCAGAATGTTTACATTCCCACAATGCAATTGTGGAATGTCGCTTTGACTACTCAACTTCCTCTGGATGTACTGATCTAAACTTACGCTTTGGTAGTAGAAATGCAACGCTCATATTGCCCCATATGGTTTACGTTAATGACAGATGTAATTAAAATAATTCAGAGAAGATATTTAATCCGAACGTGAAAACCGCCATCAAACTGTTATCATTTGTTTTTTCTGGTAACGCTCGCCTTTAACGTAGGGGCAGACACATTAATAGAACAACGCACCAGTTAGCCCCAGCGAGGATTCTTAATTTAGGTCACCGATTAATCGGCCGCTTGTTTTCTGCCTTAAATTAATCGTGAATTATCTTTAGAAAGTATTAAACTTGGCATCTTAGAAAGAAATACACTTCGCCTTACCATCATGTATAGTGTATTAAAACACTTTTCGCCCTGAACTATTATATTCGCAGAAGCACTCGGACGCAAGCCGCCCTCGTGCTTTAACTATAATAGTTCAGGGCAAAAGTGTGTTTTATTACACTATACATGGTGGAAGAGCGAAGTGTATTTCTTAAATATGTTACTGTATTAATAAATTATTATTGTTGTTGAAATGCATCTTGTACGTTTTTACACAAAGTTTCTTCTTGTTGTTCCAAAAAATTCGGAGTTATGGAAAGTATAAGTTTCGCGGGTTCAGAAACCAATGCCAAGTCTAGTCATTAGTAAACGTCAGCTAGCTAATTATATATGCAAGGAATGTCGAGTCAGATTTTAAAGGGCGGTCCTCCCAGCAACTCACCAATCAGGAACAAGTACATTGTATTGTCAATATGGCTGACGTTTTCTATGATTTGACACGAAGCACAGAAGTCTTATTTTCAAGCGAATTAAACTGAACACAATTGTGTACATATCACAAGTTAATTATCTTAACACGTATTCCCTACATTTATCACTTATCAGCAATATATTTTCTTGGAGTAACAAGCGAACTCGTTAGTGTAATGCAAATTAGGGGGCGGAATTTAGACATGTTTTGTAAACAAACTCGCGCTACCAGGTTATCAATCAGACTATGTAAATTCTACACTTGTATTTTCGCATGCACAAGAGTACATATTTTTAGTGACTGAGCATCAAATAGCATACCCTCCCCTGTTTGGCGTTACAGTACCTTTGTGAACAGGTATCTCAGTGGGCTAGCACACTTAAACCAGCTTTAGTCTGGGCTAGTACAAGCAGCCGCACATACACATACACACGCATGCACGTCGTCATGAGTGAAATATTCTCAAGCATGACATTAAACCCAATTTCACCTCACCTCACCTTTGTGAACAGATCTATTGGTGATGTTGATGTGGGAAAATGATCATTCAGAGAGTAAAGATTGGTCATCGTATGTGGACTTATTAAGTGTGTGAACTTCAGAAGGGATTATGCTGAAACATA